CTGTAGGGCGCGTGCGCTCGCCAGACAGACAGAGAGAGACATAGAGACAGAAAGCGAGAAATCACCCCCCAGGGGGGATGGTCACGCCGCAATCCCTTCTCCTCCATTCTCCTCTCGGGATCTTGGGCACGCACGCACACGCGCCCGGCGTGAGTTTTAAGCCACCGGGTCCGGGACTTGAACCGCGGTTGACTACGTGGGACTCCAGCGACATAGCCATTACGCTAACTGCTGGTTCCCCCTCATTTTCTTTTTAAAATTTGACTAGGGAGACAGGGAAAATGAGATGCAAGCCACCAGGTCTGGGACTCGAACCATGATTGGCTATTTGGCAGTCCAGCATCTTAACCACCATGCATCTGCCGTCCCCACGTCTCACTTGTTAATGTCACCAGTTTGTGAGACTTGCGTGTCATGTGAAATCTGAAGATGCACAAAGGGCCTGTGGAGACGAGCCCCTTCCCTCGTTTTTAGGGAGCGGGCAGCACGAGGGGTTCCCAGAGGCGTCACCATCCTCTCCGACCCTCGGGCCCTTCATCCGCCGATGGGATGCGTCCTGCACAGCTGCACAGGGTGAGGACACTGAGCGCCGTCACCCCTCTCTCTGCAGTTCCACCACGTGCCTCTGTACCTGGAATGGGCTCCCACTGGCGTCTTCTCCAGCTTGGCCCCACGGAAGGAGCCCCAGCACGCCCCAGCACAGCCCGCGGGAGAGGACGAGGCAGAGGCGGAAACCGGTGAGAGCAGTCCACAGTCAGGAGCTCCTGGACCGCAGGTGGGGGAGGAGGCGGGCTGGGTGCACAGAACGGTCCATCAGGCCTCGGGGTTAGCCTTCCTCGTTCATTCCGGAGACCAGTGGGCCTCGGACTCTCGATGCGCGTTGCCTCGTAAAACGCCCTTACAAACACGGTGTCGATGGTTAGCGTGCCGTGACGTGGCTGACGTGTAGCTGGCTGTTTGGCAGGTGTCGGGAAATGGCGACCGCTTCCGGAGGCCACGCTCACTGACGCGTGTCTGTGTCCCGCCTTTCTGACACGGCCACCCTTTGTTATTCTACTTGTTTGTATCTGTCTCGGCCAGACTGTGAGCCAGGAAGGCCAGGGCCCGCTGTCTCCTTCAGACTGCGCAGTCCCCAGGACCCCAGATGGACCAGAAAGCCATCTGGGTGGGAGATAGATTCACTCCCAAGTGTTGGGGTAGCAGGGCGCCCTCTGGTGTCTAGTGACTGCAAAAGCAGGAAAGGCAAAGAAGCAGAGGTCCCTGGACCCAGGGTAGCCCTGCCCCCTGGCTAATGCTTCGCAGTTTGGGCAAGGGGTGCTTTTGGCTCTTGGTTCTTCCTTGTCAAGACATTTCATACCCCTGAGCCCTGCCCACTGAGTGTCAGGCGTGTCCTCAGTTGTCATGACAACTGGGAATACCCACCTTCCCAGGTGCCCCCTGGGGCAGTGGAGCCCCCCCCCCCAACTGAGAGCCACTTGGTCTGGGGAACCCAATCTCATTATAAAGCTTTATAAAAGTTTTAAAAATGAGCGGGAGGCTGTTTGCCCTCCAAATTTTGCCCATCCGTAATCCCCACTCCCCCACACAGACTGCGTGTAACCACTGTGTGTAACCAGATGTTTTGTTTGTTCAAGTAAAGTCCCCCATCTGCCATCTTCCTTGTATCGTTTACCAACATCAACAAAAAGTGGAGAGAACAAAACTGTCCAATTTCATACTACTTTTGTTTTTTTTTAAGTGATTTTTGCTAGAGGACACGTGCTTTTCAGAAAGACAGAAACAGTCAGAAAGCGAGAAATCACCCCCCGGGGGATGGCCACACTGCAGTCCCTTCTCCTTCATTCTCCTCTTGGAATTGTGGGCATGAACACACAGGTGCCCCGCATAAGTTTTAGGCCACCGGATCCAAGACTCAGACTGTGGTTGACTGCATGGGGGTCCAGCAATGTAACCATCGTGCCATCCGCTGGTCCCCCAATTTAATACTTAAGTTCTCATTGTAAAAGGAGCAGACTTCACCGTGTATAAACCTCCCACCTCGTCTGTATCTCGTGTTTCGCCGTCTCGTTCTGGAACTTCAGGGCTGGCCCAAGGCGGTAAGGCATTTGGGACTCACTGGCCTGACAGCCTTGTCTATCCCTTCGCTCCTCGTGAACCCGGCAGCATCCCTAGGTGTTGGGGAATGATGCCTGGCCTGAGCCCTGAGCCGCCTCAGCCGGTTCATGAGTTAGCTTTGCAGCTTGGATTTGGATTCCCTTCACTCCCTGCTCATCATCCCCTGTCAGAAACTATTCTCTTGGGACCAGCAGATGTGGTTATGTCGCTGGACTCCCACATAGCTGATTGTGGTTCGAGTCTCAGATCCGGTGGCTTGAAACTCATGCTGGACACGTGTGCCTACGTGCCCAAGTTCCTGGGAGGAGAATGGAGAAGAGACTGCAGCGTGGCCATCCCCTCTGGGGGGTGATTTCTCACGTTTCCTCTCACTGTCCCCATCTTTCTCCGTCTGACCAGTACATGCACCCTGAGGCTCAAACCTCTAAACAGCATCACCTCCAAACTCTCTGCCGCCTTGCATTTCCTCCGGAACCTGATTCTGACACAGCCCAAGTACTGCCCATGGGGCTGGTCCCTTTTGCAGGATCGATAGCTATGGAAGCCAAGCCAGAGCAGAGCTTGTGCTGCCTGCTTGGGAGTATGGTGACCACTTCGGGTGGCCACGCTCATTGACCCGTGTCCCGTGTCCCGTGTCCATCCTTCCGTGGTACCGGCCGCCATCCGTGTTTACTGCTTGTCTTATTAGTCTGTACCCGTCTCCGCCAGACTGCAGGCTGCAGAGGCAGGGAGCGTACTGGTTCCTTCACTGCTCGGTCCAGCACCCAGGCACTTTCTGAGCAGATGTCACGGGACGTGCTGCTCTGTCCCTTCGACTGGTAGGGGTAGGCCATTCTTGTCTTTGTGTCCCAAGCCTCCAGCACACAGTAGGAGCGTCCTTTGGTTAAAGGTCTCCGGACCAGCAGGTGGCGTAATGGTTACATCACTGGACTCCCACGTAGTAGACTGCGGGTGGAGTCCCAGACCTGACAGTCTAAAACTCACACCAAGCGCGTGTGCATGAGTGCCCAAAATCCCGAGAGGAGAATGGAGAAGGATTGCGGCGTGGCCATCCCACTGGGGGATGATTTTTGGCTGGCTGTCTCTGTCTTTCTGGCGAGCGCACATACCCTATAGTAAAAATCTTGTTTCAGAAGTAAAAGGTTCCTTCTCGGTTGTCAGGCTCAAACTGTGAGTGGAGGTGGAGGACTCCTGTTCACACCCGCCCCCTCCAGCAACTCTTCCTTTTGTCTTAAACGCTCGTTTCCTGGAATCATGTCATGATGGTCCATTTCCACCGCACTGGGGTGTCCGCTCCCCACAGAACCCAGCCCCAGGGAGGCGCCTGCCGCCTGGTAGTGATCAGAAGGTGCAGCTGCGTGAGCCGAGGGCCAGCGAGGCACCTTCCTCCCACCAGGCTGGCTCGGAGTGCCAGGCGTAGAGCTCCTGCAAGCAGCCGTCCTAGTCCTCTCCCACACTGCACCTGGGCGGGCCACACCTTCTGTGAGGCTCGGTTTGTGGATCTGAAAGGGAGTCGTCCACGCCGGCCTCCTGCGAGGAAGGAGCGTGCTCCTCCTGCACACAGGAGCCAGTGCACAAGGCGGCGGGTCATTCAACCATGCGAGCCAGAGTCGGTGCGGGGTCTTGAACTCAGCTCTGTGCCAGCCATGGTGCTGGGGTGACCACATAAAGTCCAACACGGGCCCTCCTCCCTAGGAGCTGTGGGGGCCGGGCGAGATGTCACAGCAGTAACGGGTGAGCCCTGGAGCGGGGTGAGAGGAGGCTCCTCTGAGGCTGCAGATAGGGCTCTGTCATCAGGGGCTCCCCACCCCACCTGCCCCCAGGCTCCTGGCTCTCTCAGGACTGCTGAGTTGCAGGGCCTGATGGGGATTCACACAGAGGAGGCTTCAAGAGCAAGGCAAGGGGCTGGGCTGCAGGCCTGTAGGGCCCTGGACGGGTGCGTGTCTGCTGGCTTCCGGGCCTGCTGAA